TCGACTCAACTGTCGTATCTATCTCTGTCTGCAGTTCAATTACACATTGTTGCCGTCACTTCTTGGCGGCTTATATATACAAGAATACCGCATATCTAGTAACCTCTCGAGGCTTCAGGAAGGGACGTGAACGTTCGAGAATATGACGTGTTACTAGCGTCACGTGACTCCCGCTGTCGTAACAATATTAATACATGATGCTAAATGATGTAATTGATGCTCACAGGTAATCAATTTATTGAGTTAATCACATGGCTCTAATTCTTGCACCTTTCTAAAGATTTTTAAGTTTTTTTGGGCCATGCTTAAGAAGGGAAGAAACCCCAGAAAATTTCCTCTAAAATTCCTATCCCTAATGCTCATAAATTGCCCTTTGTTTCTGGTTAACACATGCAATTCTTTAGATCTGTCATCACTATTATTAAGATGGTAGAATGGATGGCTTCAAATTGCTGTATAGGACAACAGAAAGAATTAATGAACAGTTTTAGTCAAAGATATGCACTATATATATATATATATAAAACAGGGGTCTAGAGATTATTTAAAAAAATTGTTTAATACAAAGTGAGTCATTCGAGGATTTTTCTTATTACTTACCATATTAGTATACTTGTATGGGAACAGATTAGTGAAATGACATTCTAATTAAGAACAATAAACACATTATTAATGATAAAATAAAAATTATACAGAAATCGGTTTTATTGGCATGTGTAAATTGTTTTCAAATTCTTACAAAACAAAAAAATTTAAATGTATTAACTTATGAAATAATTTTCACAGGACTCGGATTATTTAACTTGCTTCATTGTTGAAGTTTGACCAACATTAACTAATGTCACATTATGAAGTAATTTTATGTTTAAAATGTCGTAGACTAAAGCCTCGATCAGAAAAAAAGGATGTAAAAAGTCATTTTTGTAAATTTGTTTTCTATGTTCTGTACATCTACAAAAAGTAATTGAAATATTTTATACTTTCAAGTGTACCCTGTTTGTATTCCTCTTGTGGTGTATTTTTTTAATGGCACTTTTGTTTATCCATTTTTGGGAAGGTGTTTTCCACTGGGTGAAGAGAACTTCCAAATAAATTTAAGATTTTGTGAAGTAAAACTAACTGTCAGTTTAGAAGTTAGGTATAACATATAAAATTTGCAGTTACAGTGTATAAAATAAAAATTTAACAATAACAAAGTTGTTGACAGTAACTAGTATGAATATCATACTTATCTTGTCTACTTGTGAGTTTGCTGTTTTTACCTTTTTTTTACTTGTAGCAAATTGCTGTAGAAGGAAACCAAAATTGTGGAAACATTTTTAAATTGGCATAACAAGTGTTTTAGACAGCAATGTTTTTACTCTAGATAACAAGTGTTTTAAACAACAATGTTTTTACTCTAGATAACAAGTGTTTTAAACAACAATGTTTTTACTCTAGATAACAAGTGTTTTAGACAACAATGTTTTTACTCTAGATAACAAGTGTTTTAGACAACAATTTTTTTACTCTAGATAACAAGTGTTTTAGACAGCAATGTTTTTACTCTAAATAACAAATGTTTTAGATAACAGTGTTTTTACTCTAGAAACTAAAATATTTATATGTTTGTGAATAGATCCCAGTACCCTATTAACATTTTTTTACTATTTCTAAACACTGAACAGGAAGGCTCTGTAGTGTTACCAGTTATCCACAAATCTTTTTTCTTCAATGCCAAGTCTCTTTCTATCCAAATTATGAGTTCCTTCAAACTTATTAACCCTAATTTTTCATGATTAAAAAATACCTTCTAAGTTGGAGACCATCTAAAACTCATACAGATCCTCCTGAAATGAAGGATCCTTATTTATAGTATTGGTCTTCTGATCATTTCTGTACCATCATTAAATTTGGGCATAATACATATTAGTGTAGAATTTTCAAAATTACTAAGACATCACATATTGATCTCACAGGTGTGTTTAGCAAAAGATAAAATTACTACAGGTCAATCAAGAAAATATTTGTTTATTCCATCTGAGAAATTTTTCTGAAGAAACTACAACCAAGATATATTTCTTAAGTATAAATTTATTCTATAATAAAAATTATGTTTACCATGTTAAATACTAACACAATGTTAATTATGTTGTTGCAGTTCACTATGTAATTTGTATAAGAGCAAGGAGGTTCTCATTATTTTAACAATAATACTGTAACTGCTATAGACTTGTAGTTACAACTTACAAGCAGGTGACAAGATATTTTAGTATATTGTATATTTGCTGCATTCTGACAGTTTTTTTCTTGATGAAATTTTTGTTTGCAGATTGGTCAGAAATGATAATTATATTTTATTAATTATTTTCCTACTTTGGTGAAATGTAAAAAAGTGATTTTGAATAAATACGTTCAAACATATTATGATGTTAATAAAAGTTTTGAGACAGCTTGGCTGGGTAATGAAAAAAACGTATTATAAATGTACAATGTTTTGACGTGTCGAAACGTCATACATTTATAATAAAGTTTTTTCATTACCCAGTCAAGCTGCCTCAAAACCTTTATTTTCTAAAAAGTGAGTTCCTCATTATCAAATATTATATTGTTAGAATAATTTTCATAGATGGCTGAAAATCAAGAAGTGGTAGCTGAAGGAGTTGCAGATGATGAGGAATTTGGGGAATTTGAAGGTTTTGAGGTATTTATCCTGAAGATGTGTTCTTGTCTGATAATCCTGATAAGTGTTATAAATGTAAAATCAAACTTTTACATGTGTTTCATGAAATACTATCAATTTCCTGTTGGTTTCAGCCAACTTAGGACTTACCATATATATATATATATATATCTGTTCACTGCCTGTCTTAAATATTTTCAATTAAATCTTCATGAAGAGCTTGTTCTTACCAGTTGGCTTTTAGCTCTGCCCACTATTAAGACTTTGTGCCTGAAAAAACAATCAAAGTTGTCGATCATGACTGAGTCTGAAAATTCTTTTGAGAACCTTAATTTCTTTATAATAATTATAATCTTTAGTTTTGTAAAATTAGCAATATTAGTATCATTAAGTCTTGAAAATTAACAATAAATTGAAAGTAAGTTTATAATTTCCATATCATTTCCATCATTATGATAGTTTATGAAAATAATAATACAACTTTCCCAATAAAGGAAAATACAAACGTAGTTACATGAAGCATTTATTAATAATAAGTAAACAAATACAAAAAAGAACAGGAGAAAATGAAAAGCATGTAGTGCAAATAAAATAAGTCATATTTAATTTGAACTTCTTTCCATTCATTTTCTGACGTTCTTTTTTGTATTTAGTTTCTTTACTATTATTCATTCTGGATTATATCATATTTCTGATGTAATTACCATTATGTTTGTTTTGTACTACTAGCTTGCTGAAGATGGAATTCTTAAGATTCTGAAACATCTAGTAAATTCTTCATGTAGCTGAAATTGTATGAAATTTAATAATTACTTGCATGTTTTTGTTTGTTATTATTATTATTATGAATTGATACAACTTCCCTACTTTTAATAGAGTGTGTGTGTGTGCCTATACACATACACACACACACACACACACACACACACAATATATATATATATATATATATATATATATAAACGTATAAATGGTAATTTTTCTTGCTTATTTCAACCCCTGTTTCACCTTCACTATAGATAAAGTTGATTAAATAAAAAGTGGAACTTTTTAAAATATAAACTACTTTGCATATAAAATTATTCTTATTGTATATCGTGAGTTGTGGCAGAATTAGTAATAATTACTTGTAGAAGGTACAAGAGAGCTGATAAACTTTTGCATAATTTTTATTATTTTTTTAGCCCTTTCAATGAATTATTGATGTTAATGTTCAGGGATTTATATATCTAATTGCATTTATATTTCCATTACTTGCTGCATATTTTATACTGTTAAAGATCTATGAATTGTAGTTGAGAATGAATATTTAAAAAGGAAAGAACACTGCCATCGGTCTTTACTTAAGGATGTATATTTGTGTTAATTATTTATAATTCCTCCTCTTTAGGGAGCACCATTAGAGCCTGTGCAAGCTCAGCCAGCACCATCACCTTGGGCTACATTTCCAGGTAAGCCCATATTTTTGTAACTTTTCTGACTTTTTTTCTATGAATTATGCTATATCATACAAAATGTACCTGAAACAGGCCAGGAATTCAAATGTATAAAGCAGTAAGTTGATGCATATAGTATATAATAAATTTTGTATTAAAGTGCAAAGTTTGCATATAGTTAAATATATCACAGTTATAAAAGAACTTCAGGCTCCTTAGATCTTTAAAGTGCAAAGTTTGCATATAGTCAAATATATCACAGTTATGAAAGAACTTCAGGCTCCTTAGATCATTAAAGTGCAAAGTTTGCATATAGTTAAATATATCACAGTTATAAAAGAACTTCCAGCTCCTTAGATCATTAAAGTGCAAAGTTTGCATATAGTTAAATATATCACAGTTATAAAAGAACTTCCAGCTCCTTAGATCATTAAAGTGCAAAGTTTGCATATAGTTAAATATATCACAGTTATAAAAGAACTTCCAGCTCCTTAGATCATTAAAGTGCAAAGTTTGCATGTAGTGAAAGATATCACAGTTATAAAAGAACTTCCAGCTCCTTAGATCATTAAAGTGCAAAGTTTGCATATAGTTAAAGATATCACAGTTATAAAATAACTTTGGTTTGCATGTAGTAAAAGATATCACAGTTATAAAAGAACTTCAAGCTCCTTAGATCATTTAATATCCTATTATTATGCACAGGTAACACAAGTCATTATATATATTCATTTTTCAACAACATGCGTTTACTGATTTAAAGTAGTGGATTTGAAAACAATATAATAAGCCTGATGTGTATGTATTATTGTATAGATTTATTGAATTGATTGAACAATTTAAGAACTTTTTCAAAGTTTCCCATTTTCCAGCAACTAATGCTTACCTATCCAATATTTAGTGACCCTAAAAACATATGAAAGTGACAAACATTATTCCTTTATTTTATTTCATTTTCAGATCTTCTTCCTGTTCAAAACAGTTCTGCTGCCTCGGTTGACGAGGATCCATCTTCTCCAGTTCGGCCAACAGAGCCACTAGATGAGCCATGGTTAGTAGCAGCAGCAGCAGCATCTAGTCCTCAGCGCTACCCTGCTTTAAGCAGTTCTGCTGCTACCACTGTATCATTTCAACAGTCAAGAACTTCAAATCCACCAGATATTTCACTAGCAAACTGCCAGGTTATCGGTAATGAATTAATAGGGGCATGTGATATTACTCAATCATCACGGCTATCAAATCCTCCTGACATATCCTTGGCAGAATTCAGTCAAACTGATGGTGACCTGAACAATGAGAGAGAAAGCTCAGGCCCTTCATCCTGGTTATCTAATCCACCAGATGTATCCATAGGTGCTAGGCCTGTTCTGTCTGTTTCGGACTCACCTGATGAAATACCAGGTAACAGTATTTCACAATTAAAAAATATATACACACATCTATTTAAATTTCTAATGAAATAATTGTTAGCATTGGAAATACAACAGTTTCTATAATTATTTCCATTAAATAATAAAGATTTAAGAAATAAAAATTAAAGCTCATAATTTTCAGACTTATTTCAGTTGAAGGCTGGTTTCAGACTGGCAGTCACATGGTTCTTGAATTCTTTATTGCATTTAATCCTCAGTTCCACTAACTGTTATAAAGCTCTTTGCTTTAATTCTATATGATCAAGTATATTTTCAGCCTTATGCGAGTATGTTATTTTCTTTAAGAAGTGCCCACATAGTTTTATTTTTGTGTGCAGAAAAATTATGAAAAGTTTTATAAAAGGAATAAGTTTTTATATTTGGGAAAATTCTAAATTCCTTAATTTAACGAAAAATCTCTTACTAGAAAAACAGGTCTTAAGATACATTTTTAATTGGATTTGTGGATATTATTTCGGAAGGAGCATAGGTAGCTTTTCATTAAGTGATGCTGAATATTTCAGAATGTAAGGTGAAACACTGATATTGGTTCCTTGGGAACCAAAAAATATGAAATGTAGCTGTTTTTCTGTTAGCAATGGATAGTCTTTTATTTATGTTAGATGTGGGAAACATCTTAACTAGTTATTATTTCACTAATGGTTTCTTCTCTTCTAGGACTTTGTTCCATATTGCAGATGGACAGTTGATGCTGTGCCACTTGTATTGTGACCTAGTTGTTAGTTTTTGCATTTACTTCCTTCTATCTTTATGCATGGTTGTTATCGACGAGACCGACAACCATAACCTTAATTCTTTCTCACTATAGTACTTACTTTTTTATACCCGAAGCTGTTCTTCTCTAAGCCTTATGTAGTTTTTCAAATATGCATTTTAGAGTAAAAGGTATATATCAATAACTAGAAGAGAATATCCCAAACTAATATAACTTATCTGGTTTTCTAAGAAATTTATACATAGGTTAAAAAATTTGGTTATCTATTTGGAGCAACAGTACGATCACAACAAACCAAGAATTTCTTATTGACTGAATACTTTCCCAGTGAAAACTGATCAGACCATGGTAAGCATCATGTAGAGGAGAATCTGTTTTTTATGCTGGTTGTAAACATGTCCAGAAGCCATGTGTAATTGACTATTAAACATTCTGGAAAGTCAGAAAGGGAGGGGGCTGCTCTGGTGTGTTTAACAATTTATTGATATTTCAGCAAATCAAGAAGGTAGGAGGTGCAGATCTTAGATTCATGCTTGTAATTATATATAGTTTGTGTTTCTAATTGGTTGAAAACTGAAGCAGCCTGTTAAGTTAAAAACTTCTGACATGAATGAAAGGACCACTTTCTTGTTCATGGCATTTTAAAAATTAAAAATCACTTGGTTTGAAAACTAATTGTTAGATAATTACATTTTTTATCTTTCATAGTTATTGATCTGCTTTTGCACTATGAAGAGTTAATTTATTTTGCAGGTGGTTCTATACCTGTTCTGATAAATAACGCATCTCAAGCTTCAGTATCTGAATCTAATACTCTGCAACGGTTTCTACAAGATGTACCACCTGATCTCGGCTCACTTCAAGCTCAAGTGCAAGAACTTCAACAGGAAAGGACACACCAACAAGAACAAATTGAAGCACTACAACACACAAATATGCAGCTAGAACAACAACTTTCTGAAAGACAAAGAGAAGCTCGAGATCTTAGAACACAGTTAGAAGAAACACAGGTATTTTTGAACTAGTTGTAAGTTTTTTGTATTCAGTGAGTTGTTTTCATGAACTTGCAATGATATTCAGTGTTTCAGCAGCTCTTAAGATTTTTACTTTTCTTAAAGCACTAAGAACAAAGTGGACTAAATTTATGTACCTTGAAAGTGTGAAACTGTACATACTCTAGTCCTGAATTTGCTAAGTGTATCATCAAAACATTTGGCAAGTTTTTAGTAAGCATTATAAGTCTGTTATGTATAAAAAGCAAATTTTGTTAATAAAGCATGTCTGCTAAAGATGTGTATCTGAATTTATAAAGCTCTTACTGAGTCAACCTGAGTGAAAGGTAATTTTTGTGTTAAGAATAAAAATACTTTCCATCTTACACTTTCATATTTCAATTTCCTAAGCTCGTAAAACTTTAAATTATTTTATTTTTGTAACCTAACCTAAGAACTTTTTAATTTTTACATTTTAATCATTTTTGTTTAAAAATATATAATAATAAAAAATACACAAAAAACAATAAATTTAGAACTTACTTTAGGTGTTAAGGACTGTTTGTACTTAGATACTGTTCTTCTCTAAACTTACTTTTTTCTCACTACATTGGTTTATGTAGCTTTTAAATATGCGATTTAGGACACAAAAATATATCAAGCACTAGAACAGAATGTTCCAAAACTGTTATGTAGGTTAATGAAATTATGTTACTGCTGATTTAGTGACATTTTATGGTAGAAGAAAGTAAATAGCAGATAGCAAATACAGGGATACTGAAGAAACTATATATATATTAGAGATTCTAGAGGTTTTATAAATGCAATATGCAAATTATACAATGGACAGAAGTATTCTCCTTCTTCTTATGAACATTTTGCACTCTGACTTGTTAGAATCTGAGTCAGACTGATGTTGTTAATTGAAAGACATATCTTGAAAAGAAATACTTGTGTAACACATCTGATTTTTTGTATTCAATAGTTCTTAGATACACATAGTAAATTCAGAATTATAGTCAACATTCCTTCTCCAGTATCGGGTCAGTCCAGTAGACTGAGCCTGCACACATTTTGTTAAAAAGTCTCCATTATAGCGTATTTACAACACTTATATTGTTAGTCTATTAGGTCTGTTTAATTATAATTATTTTTGTGTTATTATGTATCTAGATATTAAATAAGACATTCTTTCAGGAGTCCTTGCATGTGATGGAGAGGAGATTAGCATCAGAGCACAGCAGTGTTGGAACTTTACTACATAAAATAGAGCAGACCCAGGACTGGATGGATAAAGAGGTGAACTGAAATTTTAATAATTAGACTAAAATATAATTCAACTAGTTATTACCCAGTTTCCAGTTATAGATGTGCAAAGTATTGCAGACATTAGATTTAATGAGTCTTTATATGCAAGCAGTTTGACACATAATATGGATGTCTTCAGCTCACGGGGTTTATTGAATGAATACCTAGTTACTTCAAAATTATATAATCTAAATATTTTGCCACAAATTTTATTGATTTTTTTTCAGTATGGTCTCAATTGTTAATGTTTGTCCTCTTTGCAGAATAAATTAAGAGGTTTCCAGAAGTTTAATCTTTTTAAGATTTTTCTTGTGTTTCCATGTGGTAATGGTGCCTTTTTGTAATGTACTACACTAAAACAGATCTACCTGGGTAATTTTGATTCAAAACCAAAACCTAATTATTGCCATTAATTACTATGAACAATATGTCAGTTTTTTTATGAGTTTTTTTTTTGTGTGTTCTATTGGAATTATTAAATTATCAGGTAAGTTTTCATATTTCAGAACATTTTTTTTAAATGTTTCTGGTTATTTTTTGGAATATTAAAGTTACAAGTTTAACTGTAAAGTTGTTCTTTTTTCTTTAATCTTATTTGTTCTCTGCCTTCTGACCTGGTCTTTCACTCATTACAACTAAGATTTTATATGTTACAACACAGTTGGCCTGATTTATTATGGTTTTGAGCAAAAAGCTTCATTGGCAATGGCATACAATGAACAAAAATGTAGTTAAAGTGCTGTTATACATTCTTGTTACTGGAAAACCACATTAAATCAGTAGGAAAATGCGACTAAAGTTATAAGACTTAATGTGGTGTAATATCACATCTATTAGTAAATTTTAGCTAAAGTGTCCTTACTATTTTACGAGAATTATGCAAATAAGAAAACAGTACAGAAATTTTTTTCCCCCTTTATAAAGGTTAAATAAACAGTGAAATACATATTTATTATACGTATATAGTATATTATTTTTTAACCTTTGAAATGAGCTATTTATTAGACTGTATCTTTGATATTTTGTCATATTTTTAATAGAAAGAAGTATTTTATGGACAGCTACGAGAAGAAATTAAAACTTTAGAACAGAGGTTACAAGGTCAGCGATGTGATGACATGGACAGTTTACACAAATTTGTTGAGAAGTGTATACAGAGGTGTTCTGAAGAGCTATGTGATAATGTAACATCACTGTTAAAGGTAAGAGCAAGCTGTTTTACTCAACCAGACATAGTTAATATAATTTAATAACCTGAAATTAGTATACATTTGTATGATGTAGAATAGAATACTGAATAATCCTATTATTCCTCCAAAAGGTGGCCAAAGGCTGCCTGGAGGGATCTTCTGTTTTAACCACTTGTACCACTACAGTAGTGTGTTGTCTGTCAGTTAGTCAGTAGACACTGAAATAATGTTACATAAGGGAAGCTTAAAGTTGCAACTTGTACTGTTGTGACGTCAGTAAAATATGCACATGCCTTGAATCATGAGAAGAATTATACACTCTGTAGGCTACAACAAAGCATGACATGTGAACTTCAAAAGCAAGAAATAAAAATATTTGTTACTCTTAATTTTGGTTGTATTTACTCTTGAAACAGAACACTTTCTGGGACCCCGCGGAGGTACATCTAGTGTTTATTGTGTTTCGACATTATTGAATTTAATCACTTAGAAATAGTTGATTAGGTATGTTATAGAACATTGAAAATAAAAAGCTGTAATATTAAAGGTTTAATCCTTTACTTACTTAGTTGTAAGTACATTTATTACATTCATTAGCATGAATTTCTGTTAGATCACTCTTTCATGTCATGTTGGAAGAATTTGTGTAGGAGCCAGTACACTAACTGCTCTTTTAAATTTATAACAAAATGTAGTTCAGTAGGTATTACTTCCTTTATTTTCCTGACAAGAGAATATTCTTGAAAGTTAGCATGATTTGATGAATTAATCATGGATTACTGATTAGCCACAGAGGTTTCTTAACTTTGAAACAAATACGAATTCAAACATTTTTTGTCAACCTTTAAATTTTTTGTTTTTCTAGTATATTTCTGTATGATTGCCCTGACTGTAGATATTCTTATTGTTGGTTTTTGTAGAATATAAACTATATTTAAAAATTAGAAAATCCATTCAATCTTAACCTTTTCTAAAATATTACTTACTCAGCAATTCAACGACACCTGCTTTTCAGCTCTGTTTTCAATTATTCATATACACAATAATCTATTAAGTTTGAAATGAATAATTTGATATGAATTTCTGATATTAGGATTTTTGGACTTTTTAATGGATAATGAAGATTGATTTTGACATTTGAAACTGGGCAGTGTACATTGTAACTTTTAATAAAGTTTTTAAATTATTTGAAAAGCTTTAATAAACTTTAATAACCCATAATTTGGATTATATTTTTCCACAAACATATCAAAATGTTGGTCAAACTTAATTCAGCAATTTTAAGATACGTATATCAAATATTTTTGTATAGCTGCAAACCTACTTAGACATTAAAATCCACTTTGTAGGCTGATGATATTATTTGAAACTGCCTCGTGAATGTATGATGTGAGATTTGTTACCAACTGTAAGGTAATAAATTTCTAGAAGATAAAATTTGAATTAAACATCTTTTGTTAAATACTCTGAAAAAAAAAGATGTACATATATTTATCAGTGTTATTCTACTGTCTTGTAAATTGTGCATATAAGTTGCTAGTTTTAAACCAAATTTTCTGTATGTGATTCAAAGGTCTCTGTTAATGGATTTCATAAACAAATGTATAACACCTTTTTTTTTTTTGTGATAAACATGTGAGGAGCTAAAACATTTATTATGATTATTAGGATGCTGTTGTTAGCCATTCCAGTAATCATCAGAATCTTCATGTGGCTGAACTGGTGGAACAGTTCAAGAAAGAACTTCAAGTACAGTCAGCTGAGCAACGAAAGGCAAGTTTCAGCAGAAGTTTCTAAAATGGCTAATGGTTGTACTATAGATGAATAAAGTAATAATATTCAAGGTTGCCAGTGTGGTATAACTAACAAAATGCTGGTAGTCTGATCCAAACATAAATCTTTTGTTTTTCTGAATAGTGTAATATTGGGTGTAATAAGTGTATTAAGTTTGATGTTCTTCATGTGGATACGGACTTTGTCTTGTGATGTGTAACCTTCACGTTCAGTTTGTTAGAAAAAGTATAATTGGCAAATAAAATGTTAAGAAACATTGCAGTCATGATATGAATAAAAAAAATATATCGGCTTTTCCAGTGAACTATAGGTTTTCCACTGTTCCTGTTTTTTAAAGTTTTTTTTTTATCTTATGCATGGCCATGTGTACTTTTATCCCCAAAATATTTCTTAAATTTTAAACAGAAATATTAACTTTCCACAAATGTTCTCACAATCACCACTTGTTCTTTATCAGGGCTAAAACTTTCTATCCATGATATGTACTTCCTGGATAAATCATCAAGAAGCTACACGTTCTTTGATCTTGTATGATGAGAAACTGGGTTTCTCATAATCTGTGTCTGTGGTTTTTGAAAAAAGGTTTTAATGGAATGGTTTCTGTAAAGCTTGACCTTTTTGGGTTAAGTTCATTATGAAGTACATTATTGCTATTAATTTTTTACTGATCATATAAATTCTTAAAAGACTAGAACATCACTATATACATACTTTTTAAAAAATATCATTAGTCCCAGTGCAGTTTTTATATCTATCATGATAACCAAATATCTCTGTTGTGGTGAATATCAATGTGATGCAATGATAGGTTGTGTTAAAGACTAGGGAGTGGAGAAAAAATGGATATATGTTTGCTGTTTATTTATAATTTCAATTTATTTTCAAGATTTTAATAGTTATAATTTATTTAACTGTATGAGATAAAATGAGTAACTTGGCTATTTAAAAGAGTATTAATTTTGTCTGTGCAAATTATCACAACACTATAATGTAAATTGAAGAACCTTTTGGGCATTAGTCAATGAAATATAAAACTTGTAGGAATCAATGAGAACTGAGTGCATGTAGTTTGGAGAAATCTTTGTATTTATAAGTCGTATTTTAATGCATTGTTTCTTATCTGATGGCTAACTTAATGTAAAGATTTGATGTAATGTGATATTGATTAATAAAATTTCAACTTTAAATAACCCCTTATGGGTTTAGCAGTAAGCTTAAGAATTTTATAACATTAGAAATCGGGGTTTGACCTCTTCAGTGGCCACAGTACTGATAACCATTGTGCAGCTTTGCACTTAAATAAACAAATATCTTTAGATTAACTTTAAGAAATGCTAAAAACGTACTTACTACAAAGGTTAACTAATTATATTGAAATAATTTATATAGGGAAGTTTAAAAATTTTGAAATTCATTTTTATCACCATTTAACTATTTTTTAGTGCAACTCTTGCCTTAATTGATATGTGCCTTTTTTCCATAAATAAATATAATCTTGATTTTTTGAGCCTAATATTTGAACTTCATAGTTTCACTTTGTTGCTTAATCTGCTTAAGAAATAATTCATTTTGCCATGTTTAAACTGATAGTACAAGTGATTAGTTCTTAATGATAATTAATAAACACTAGATTTGTGAAAGCAATTTACAGTTTCAAGTTCACTTCGTAAGCCTCACTTTAGTGGGAAGATGTTTGTTTGTGATGAATCTGCTTGATGAATCTGTGAGCTTGAAAATACAGTATTTTCTTCTCTTTTTGGCAGTTGAAAGACAGTTGCTATCATCATCTGCACATATACTCTATGTTGAAGTGGCCACACAAGTTTGTAAAGAAGTAGTTAGTTAGTTTTGTGTGTTTAATGCTATAAATTTGTATAGGCCTGGTGGTTAAGGTGCTCAATTCATAATCTGTGGGTTGCAGGTTCAAAATCCCCATAATTGAACACTCTTTATTGGTAAAAGAATAGCCCAAGAGTTGGCAGTGAGTGGTGTTGACTAGCTGTGTTCCCTCCATTCTGTCACTGCTAAATTAGAGACAGCTAGCACAGATAGCCCCGGAGTAGCTTTTCACAATATTCAAAACAAACAAACAAAATAAAGTTGTACTTTAAGTTCAAAAGGATTGTTCAGGTAGTATATGTATTCTATTTTGAAAATGAGCATTGAATTGCCTGCCTCAGAAATCTCAAATTCCTGCCACTAAAATTAAAAATTTGCCATGCTTTTCATGGAGGACTGTATATATATACACACACTCATACAGAGGTTGAGTACATGATATTAAAAAGATTTTAGAATCTCAACACTCTGTTACAGGCCATGTCACTATGTCTGGTCATGCTCCATCTGATGACCATACATCTTGACAATAGGCCTATAGCATAATTTCCATTACAAAAGGTTTCACTGTAAGGCTTTCATGTCCAAAGCTGACTTTACATAATCCATCTGTGTATCAGGTCCTTGATTATGTTGCTTATTGTTGCCTGGGGTTGTGGATGGCTTTTGCCACTGATCTTTGTATTTGTGGATATTCACCTGCTACAAGATGCTACACTTTGCTTACCCTAGCTGGAGTATGACTTGTTTCAGTCTCTTTCGGGATGGTCCTCATGCCCCAAGTGGATTAATATTTTTTTGGGTTTTCCATAGCCATTAAGTAAAAGGGATATTCCCATCTTGCAAGTTATAAATCCCTGACCTAAACATATCTTTATGATCTGAGTGTATGAATATTTTACATTGGAAAGGGCTGTTACATACATTTCCCAAAAGTGATCAGTTTTGTGTGGCATCATACTACCTGTGGAATGAAATAGAATCTCAAATGTAGTTCTGATACAAAGTATTCCACTGTAAGTATGTGTCAGTTGTAGTTGTCAAGTGGCTTGCTTGGTTGCATATTTAAAATCATTCTAATATAATGTATTTAATCCTCTAAATATAGATATATGCTCTCTTGCATTACAATTCTTTGAATTAATTATTCACCTTGTAACTATAGTAAAAAAAATAGGGAATGTGTCATGTTATAATATGAAAGTTGAACATAAAATTACTATAACTGCTTCGTAACTTTATTTTGCAATAAAATTTTGTTTTGTTTATGTATTATCTACATTCCAGGCATTTTATTTCATTGGTTAATGAAAAAGTTGTTTTTTCAGTAAGAAATATCTGAAGATGGTAAATACTGTTAAACCTTAATTAGAAACACTTGCCTCTTATTGATGCAGTAATTGGAAAACATTTACATTATATTGGATTTGTAAATAATATTCTGTTCTTTTTTGGTGCAGCTTCTGCAGCAGGAACGGAGACAACAGTTTCTGATGCTTTCATCAACTCTACAGTCTGTAGCCTTGCAGTTGAAGACAGGCTATGATGAGACTGACCAAAACGAAGAAACAGAATCATGACAGAAACGGTGGAAACCTGAAACCAAGTTTATCTTGTCATGTGATCTATGAGAAAGAGTTGAATACAATGTGTGTATATTTACAAGAAAGTTGCATGTCCTTATAGGTCAATTATGTTACTTCTGTTCCAAATCAGTCTTCTAGTAGTACTAGAATCTTTAAATAGATTCATGAAATGCTTATGCCCAAAATCTAGAACATGCACAGTGTAGTTGAAAACTGACTGGTTCCTTCTTGGCTTGTGTAGAGGTTTAAAAGATATAACAGTGTTGTTGTATGTTAATGTTTTTCTTTAAACATATTGAAGTGGGAAAAAAAGAAATTAAAAGTTCAAAAACTATGTTAAGTCAACACCGTTATGCTTGTTCATAGCAATTAAAATTTATAACTGTACAGTGTAAATCCTTATAAGATTTACTCTCTTGGCTATTTTTTTTATTAGAACAATGTGCTTCAGAAATCTTTTTATGCATTTTAATTTTCAGTTTGTATTATTCAGAAATCTATAAAATCGTCAAATAAAAATGTATAATAACCGTTGAGCAACTGCCTTTCCTCACATCTATTAATCTGTATGTGTAAATAAGTAAAAATAACATAGAATTGATGAAATGGCAAAGGCTTGAAATGTTATCTTTTAACACAAATTTTCTTTTGAAAATTATGACCTTCACATATATATAATTTTTTGTACTGCCCATGTAGTTGTTTAACAGATATCTAATTCTTTTCACATTTTCTCATAAACATGCCCTATTCTGTGTTGCATCAGTGATACAACAAACTATGTGTGTAAATAAAGTGAATGCAAAAACTGAAAAACAGCTTTCACAAGACCTTGTATTAACAGAAGATGTTGGATACAGTTGAGAAATGAGTGAAAAGGTGTTGAAGAAACATGTTAAAACTAAAATAATGTGTCGTTCTTTTTCCAGATATTCAGCTGTTTCAATGATGACAATAAAATGAAGGAACTGAAACTTGTATAATCTATGCTGTTCATGAAATAAACAGATAACATGCAAATAATGCTTGTTTTATTTACCTTTAATGAATTTTGATCATTTGGCTAGTTAGTCGGAAAGTTAGGAGATTTCCTGAATACTCGAAGCTTATAAATTTATCCTTGCCAAATACTAAGCATTAAGTCTAGATGATTTTCACTTTTGTACAGCTACTATCCAGTAATATGTTTTGATGTTTGTAGTTGGTATTATTATAATATTATTTCAATATGATAAAGAAATAACCTTCCCATAATTTAATATTTTGGTTAATTGAATAAATCTCAGCATACAGCTAAGAAGATTATAATCTTTATATCTAACTTTCTTACTTTGCATGTAGTTCGGGTGAACTATCTTAAAAAGTTTTTTTTTTAATCTTTTGCTGTAGTGAGGTAGTTTCCTATTTTAGTGTGTATGTACATGTTTCTACTTATTTGAGGTATGTGTACCTCAATGATGTTTAAAAAATGTATTTATGTCACTAATGTTTTAGGTTTTAAAATCAAGGCAGAAGTCCAATATTCTTTTCCAAGAACTTAAGAAATTAAAAAGTGTTTCTCAGTCTTACTGTAAGTATGTGTCTTTTTAACTTACTATAAAATGACTTTCTACTAAATTAGTGATAATTTTCAGTTCTGTATTAATATGCTTTCTACTCAGGATAAAAAAAAAGGTAAAAGTTCTATTTTATTATTATTTTTAAAACCTTTTGTTGTAAAAACATACATGTGTAATAATTGAAAAGCAATTTGCAGTAAAACATTTGAGTTTAAGAGGCAATATTTAAACTTCAATATGTAGTAAACTATTTTTTGAGCTTTTTGTAAATGTGTCTTATTGTGCATGTACCATTCTGTGTACTTAATTTCAGTATGCAAAAGGTGAGTGAATTGAAGGAATTGCAAACCATTGCCTTTTTTTTTATCCATTTCTAATAAGACAAACTGTACTCAGTATTACAACTTGTATTTAGTTTCTTCAGTATAACATCAGGCTGTTGTTAGGGTTGTGTGTAAAGGAAGTGTTTTTTTTCCTGTGAAATAACTGCTGTACATAAATTGAAACCTGTTTCCTTTATAGATTTCATCATTCAGAAGTTGCAAAAAAAGAATTCAAGATAAATGTGTTTTGCAATAAGAATATATCTGGAGAACACTTCAGTCCTGAGATTAATGTGTGTTCACAGTTGGTTATGTTTACCTTATAGATTTTGTTCTTTATTTAAATCAAAGGGTTACAATAAATACTTTCTGAAACAAGAAAGCATGGATACACTTCAGTTTCTCTGAACCGTTCTTAAAAGTGTTGAATTGAAGGGTAATTAACTAAAAAAAATAATAAACACTTCAATATCTCTCTTAAGTAATTTTTATGAAAACTACAGTAGATTTTTTTATGATATTCACTACATTGTTTCTATTTCAGTTTAAGTTATTAATCTCCCTCCAAAATATCTTATTATACATGTTTATGAAAACAGCCTAAAATGAAATTGTACACTTATAATATGCAAGGTTTTTCAAAGTTAAAATTTGCTTTATACTGTTGTGTGTATGTGAAGTATTGTTATTCTTTATTGGAACTAAATGACATAAAGATTGTATTAGCAAGTCAGAGGTAATCCTTGTAAAATATTATTATTTATGGTATTACATAATATTACTTGTCAGTGAGTGTGATGTCTTTTATATGATAATAAATAAATATTATTGATCTAATTTTTCTTACTTTCATAGTCGCTTGTGTATAAAATAATTTAATGAGATTAGGAAGAATATGTTTAAAATATTACACTACATTTGTGTGTTTTGCTTCTTCCTTTATGAAGTTTTTGAAAGTCACGTCACTTGATATTAATATCAATATATTTAGCTTTGGATTCTTAAGATGGAATAACATCCTTTTGATCAAAGGTTCTTTCTCTGGTGATATAACCTTTTTTTATATTATGTTGTTATGGTTTAGTCCTGAATTGTAAATTTTTCTTAGATCATAATTTCTATTTCATTACAGCTTGCCCTAACAGAAATAAAAGTGTTCCATATTTATGGAGTTCTTTAATCCTTGAAACACACCTTATTTAACTCTAAATAAACTTAGGTGTTTAAATAATATCTGGCACCCTGCCAAATTTAATTATTCAGTATTATAAGTTAAACAAACTGTTTAATAATGATGTCATAGATTTATTTTAATTTTTTTAGGTGAGATCAGTATTAAACATTTTGTCTGCTGTATAATACTGAATAATTAAACTTGGGAGAATGTAAGATATTATTCAAACAATTAAATTGATTTAGGGTGAAACATGTGTTTTAAGGACTTAAAACTACATAAATATTATATACATACCACAATTCTAAGGGGCTTTACCAGATCTTTCTGGTTTACTGACCCAAGCTGTGCTGATGAGCCCCGAATATGGCAAAACTGCAAGCCATAACAGAGGGTATGGTGAAGTCAAGATGTGGTCATTTTTGTCTGATACTTCATTGATCCATTTTTTCAAACTTCACAAACACGCAATGTGTGAATAAATAGTTAATTTGAAGTGTCTAGCTTGTCATATATTTTAGGCTGTGTTTCTTCCATATTTAAATTTTCTTGATACATTTACTCAAATTCAATAATTTATCACATCAATTTATGGATCCTTCTTATTTTAAAATTTCACTATATGTACTGTGGAGTTATGTTCTTTAAAAAAAATAATGGAATTGAATTTGTGAACAGAGTAATGCTATGATGAATCCATGACATTAAAGAAAAATGTTGTATGTTTTTATATGTATATATGATAGTAAAGTTTCAAAGGTAAAGTGTAACAATAATAAATTCCTTATTTCTCCTCAATAAAAAAAGCCAAACACTGTATCTTACATTTTCTTATTGGCTTATCAGTTTGTGTTACAACTGTAGCAGTGTTGAAGTGTATGTATAACTAGTTAATAATTTTATACTATTGAGAAAATGTATACAGTATATGTAAAAATAATTTACCTTACGTAGATATCTTTTCGACTATTATATTTGAAAATAGAGCTGGGTGATTAACTCAATTAATCAATATTATCAGTATACTATGAGCATCAATTAGACTGATATTAAAATAATCATTAACTGAAATTATGATTATGTCAATTAATGTAATGAAAATAATCAACTAATTGAAATTAGTGTTTCCAGTTATGTCATCTGTCCAAGTCTCGCGTGAGGATAATTGATTAGTTGAATGTAATCTATTAACAAGCCATTGATTAATCATTTGATACATTACATTAATTGTTCAGCTCTAACCATAAATACTACCAAATAACTAAATAGATGTAAATAACAGTTTGTTGCTTATAAATTACTTGTCAAGAAACTTGTTTAAATGAATAAAAAGGCTGGATAGTTCATCACATCATTAGAAAGTGAACACTTGTATTTTAATGTTTGACATATAGAATATTCAATGGATGTGTTTTTTGGTACAATACAGATCAAGAGAATCTTTAAAACCTATTTGATTTCCAAGTAAATTAATTTTTGCTAGATTAATTTTCACCCATTATTTGAAATTTGGTTATATTACTTCTGCTGTTATAGCTAAAATCTAGTAGTAGAACGAGTTAAAAGACCTATATCTTAACTTTCTGTGTAAAGTTGTACAACAAACAAATTCAAAGTATTTATACAAAAGTGACAGTCCATTATTTGATTCAAAGAACCAGACAAAACTCTTCTGGCTAGTTCTTCCATCTGGTCAGTGGGTAAAAAGTAGGGATGATTATACTCAAGTCTTGTGGGTCTATGACCTGGCATAACATGTTATTGAGAAGTGTAAATAGATTTCAAGTTTATAACTGCTAGAAGAATAGTGACAGCTATTGAATGAAAAAATCATAATTCTTCCTTGCAAGTTAAGATAATTACAATGCTGAAATGCTTCTTTTGTATCAAATTGTAGTATTAAATATGGATGATATACTTGTGTGGTAATTTTTGTCAGATACTTCAGTGATCCATTTTTTTAAAGTTAACAAGCACATGATTAATTATGCAAATAGTTAATTTGAAGTATCTAGCTTGTCATATATTATTTTAGGCCATTTTTTATTCAATTTCTTTTTGTAATATTAAATTTGAAACTGTAGCAGAAGCCTAAAAAATGAGATAGTTTAGCTTTATTTTTGTTAATTCCATTATATATTCTTTGTCAGACTGCTTTTCTTGTAACACGTAAAGTCCTATTGTCAAAAATCAAGGTTAGCAGTAAAAGTCCAAAACAAGTGTGAAGTTAGTCATTTAGTCCAGAATTATTATTTTCATAATTTAATAACTTGTATTGTCTCATTTTCGTATTTTTTCTTACAATTTTAAAGCATTAAAATGTTCTTAAGTTTGCATTGATAGGTAAAAAGAAAATGAATTTATAATGCTGTTTTAGTTAAAATTTTATATAAATTAAGGACTCGCTGAGTTCCACGAATTTGATTTTTGGATGAATATCATGAAGGGCACTTTTACAAATATACAAACATGTAAAAAAAACAAAACAGGAAAATTAATTAAGACATAATAAATTGGGCAATATTTAACACGTTATTTTCAAACAAATGAACAACAGAGCTAAAATTAGAGTATACTTCAGGAGCATCAATCATTTGCCAGATATAATTAACCCTAGAATTACTGTTGGAATTAAGGTTATTCTAAAGTATTTATGTATCAAACTGCTTTTGGATCTGTTACTTTGTTGGTTGCAAGGTCCCTTATACAATAAGTCGCATACACACAAAACTTGAACTAAAATTAATCCCAATTTGCAAAATTTCACATTTCTATGTATCTTACACAGAAAATGAATGATTTCACCCATTGTTTTGGTCAGTTTTTTTATATTAGATGTTGTAACAAGTAGAAATTTACTCTATATGATTCAGTATATGGACTCCAATAGTATTAAAAAAAATTATAATTTGAGGGTTAATGAATCAGTTTCTTTGATATTGCTTGATGAAACATATTCTTAAGTTAAAAGTGGTTAGAGTGAAGGCCTTACTAAATAAACTTGTCTAAAGTCAAGTATTTATTTTGTCAATTAAATTATTAATAAAAAATTATAATTTTCTAACCAACACATTTTCAAATGACAGCTGAGCAATAGCAAATGTATTTTAGGAGTTGATGATTAGATTCAAAATTTATGTATATTGTATATCTTTCCTTTGTGTTTTTGATGTCACATCTGAAGCTAGTCAGAAAGGAAATTCACTGATATTCTTTGAGTGCCAGTGCTTACAAGAATGAGAGGCATAAAACAACAAGGTTTCTGTTATGTAACAAATATGTTTATTTACACGACATACATGCTCGTATTTAAAAATACACATTCAGAGAGATTTTTTTATTTTTGTGAAATCCTGTAAGAAAACATTTCCTAAGTATCCTGCTTTATTTTTTTGTCAAAACAAGAGGAAGGAAAATGTAACATAGTGTTGATGCTTTTGAGGGATACACAACAATAAAAAAGTACACTGACAATAACTGGGAAAGTTTATAACCATAACAATATCAGTAATTGTCCAATATGGATTTGCTGTTATTTTAACATTGTGCCAGACTTATGCATATTCTGAAAAGAAGATACTCCATTTCTACTTAACAACATTACAAGGATGCCTTTTATTATCCCACAACCCTTAGGAAGCTAGTTAGCCTCGTATTTTTATATATGCTTGTAGTACACTAGAAACTGTACAGCGGATTACAAGTTATGATTAAAAGATGTCAATAGTACACACGAAATATATGCAAAAGAAACTGTACATCTTTGTAAATACCTATAATCGCAAGTATTATATATAATACATTTCGAATTAAAGAAGTTGGCAGTGTAAAGATGTAATCATTTAAACGCAACTTAGATCTAAGATTTTAAATTATTAGAAAAAAATTCAATTGATATTTCCACCATTACTATATTATTTCTCTGACTAATTTTAGCATATGTGACTTTGATTATTGGGTTCACTAAACATAACTTCTTTTTTTTATGTATTAAAGTGGTAAATCTCAATTGCATCAAGAAATACATATTTTAACTATATGAAATACTGCCAAATAATAACACTTTTCAATCTATTAAACCTACAGGCAGTTTTTTTTGCTATGAAGACTATTTTGAAAGGAACACACAATGTATTTTATAAGTATTTCTTCCCTATTTGCAATGGCCTGAAGTAGTGTGGGGTCCATCAATGCAAGTACTAAGGGCTAAAGAAAATTTCTATTCCTGCACATACTAACATATTGCATTTTTATTGTCACTTGGTTTGCAAAGTTTTATGTTTAGGGTTAACTTCAAACTGTAAAATAATGTGAAACACACTGCAAACTTAGCATTGTTTGGTACTAAAAAAGTTATTTTACAAATGATGACATATTCCAAATACAAAATACTTATGGAAAAATTAAGAAAATCCCTGAAATAGAAGATGGACAACATGTACATTACAACATTTGTTTGAAAAGGTTATAAATGAATTCAAAATTTCATTACCACCAACCTAAATTTCAATCATGTGTTAGACTTACACAACTGGAATATTAGTTGGCAATTGGGCCAAAACTTTGGAATCCCTTTGACTGCTCAAATGGTGCTACTACAGCTCTGAATTTTATCATTGCTTAGAAAAAGCTTGTCACTTCTTTGGAATTGCTCCTCTAACCCTCAATCTGCGTACAGCTTCTCGTAGGTGCTTGGGTTGTAATGGTCCTGTTTCTCCATTTTTCTCCATTACATCCAAGGCTTTAATAAAATATACAACAATATTAAATAGATGTTACTTGTGTACAAATCAATGAAACATCATAATTATTAATATTTTTTTCCTGGTACCAAGTATTGTTTTTAAAAATTCAGAAAACAGCTGAAATTGGATAGAAATATATATCAAATATCAACATTTTCCTACTGTTTTCATAGCATCATCAGGTACTTAACACAGCTGAACACAACAATTGAATAACTTTAAAATGTTGATAGTCATGTGCTGGAGCATGTCCATGTTTCACTATTATAGTACTTCCTACCAGTCTCCCCTATGTAGAAATTATTTCAGTCTGTACATTCTACACTATGAACTACTTTCTTAACTGTAGTTGGTTAATTTCTACTTTTTAAGCTTGTATTCAACTTTTTTTTTTCTGGAAATTTTTACATCCTTTCTATTACTTTCCACCGTCGTACTTGATAAGCTGTGTGCATATGTAATTACAAAATACATCAAATCATTTGATTGAGTTTTCTTTTTTCAATCAACCTATCAGTTCTTAAGTATTTTCTAACCACACTTATAGGTTAATCATAACTTTTCACCTATACATTTTCCAGATAATGTACTTCCTTATCCAGCTCTTCTTTTGAACTGCATTTATTTTTGCTATAGTCAAGAAATTTTTATGATCCCTAATTTTGAAACTGTGGATGACTTGACTAACAATTAAGATAAAGATCAGTATGTGTTTCTTTTCTAAATATCTTCATTTTAAAAGTATTATTAATCCTACTAACCATGACATTAAGAAAAGATAACTCACCCTAATTCTCTTGAGTAAAATTAATATTAAGGATATAATGAATTAAAATTACTAAAACTGTTTAACCATCTACCAGCAAATCTATCATCAACATATCTGACAAAAGAGCATAATCGTAGATTAATTGTACTTTTAACTTTATAATCCAGCATGTTCATAAAGATGTTAGTTAGACAAGATGATAATGGACTGCCCATACTTATTCCCTCAATCTGATCGTAACATTCCTCATTAAACTGAAATACAGATGGTGTTGTTGTAAAAATTAACATTCTTTTTAAAATTTCTGGAGGAAGTTGTATTCTTAGATTTTCTCATATAGAGTTTAAAGCCCAACGGCTACATCTATAACTGTATATTTAAATATGTGGGATACGCTTTCATGTACTTTGAAAGATGTAGTTAAGAGAAATAGGAAGATTACTAGAATCAGTTAATGACAACTTGACTGGATCATTTTATTACAATAAGGTTTAGTATACAACAATCTGTTAGTAATATCAGAAGACATTTTATACAAATTTTTCGTTAATCATAATTAAACAATGACATGACCTGATAAATACTAGTATAGATGTTTTCTTGTGAATGATGTTTACTAACTGTACGTAGTTTCATATAATATTTTATTTTGTTATAATGCATAAAGTATGCTAAGCTTGGTAATTACATATTTAACAAGCTTTTTTAGAACTGAATATTGACAAGTTTGGCCACAGTTATAGCATTATATTTTGCAGGAGTCTTGAAATGATTGAAAGAGGTAAGCCCTGCAGATCTTCCACAAAGATATTGACATTGGAAACAGTGTAGCCCAACTATAATTGTAACAGCCCAAGAGTTGAGTCAGATTAAGCCATTATCTAAATACTGCATGAGGAAAGTAACTGAATGCTTGAAAGCAGCTGCTAGAAGCAGTGTATGTTACATAGGTAATACACGAAATAAACATACATATTAACCCTCTAATCACTATCTTCCTTATTATATCATTCACTAATCATGGGGTCTTTATATCAAGACACACAGTAGTATGTCACGTGGCCAAAACAACCTGTAGAACACAGTGTGTGTTATTAACAGGAGTAATAGTTTAGGAATTTTCTACTTTCTGTAGCTCAGACTGTGGTTACACAAGCTATCACATATTTTCAGTAGACATGTTCTATTGGACCCTTACTTCACATACCAAATTTAAAGGCAATCAATTATGAAATACACGAGATATAAAATCTCCAATTTTGATTGAATTTCACTTTTTTTTTCTCTCTTCGCACCGAAAGTACGGAAATTTTATTTGATAGAAAAACATACATAACTTTTTATGGATTTTTTTTCACATTTCTTAAACTGATAAATCTTTAAGACCTACAATTAGGTGTCACATTTGATCTAACTATAAACCTCATGTACAAAGTTATTCAACAAAAACTGCTCAATTTTGACCAAAAGTTTTGCACATGCCTATGCAAAAATTCGTTAGCTATCAGTCTGAAATGTCTACTACAGCTTCACCTAAGAGTAAAGCTGAACTATTTTTAGTTTTTTGCCATTTGAACTAAAGACAGCTGACTTGGAGAAGAAAAAATAAAGGTGAAAGGAAACAATGTTACATAAGTATTGGTTAGACCAAGCAAACTAGATTAGCAATTTCTAGCTCATGTTTTCAAAAGAATAATATAGGGGGGATGATTATTATTCATTGCCAACTTTTAAGCACAAGTTTGCTAAACTTATTGAAATTCTCCTATTTAAAGAGTGTTTAGTGTCAAATGATATTAGCATAAATAATGAAGCTTGTTGATACAGCTGTTTCAATTGCATGCAAGTGATGACAAGAAACTGTTAATCTAGTTTACAGGGCATTACTATACAGAAAGTTATTAATGTTTTAGAGAGGAAAAACCAGCACCATATTCTTTAAAGAATCTGATTGGTTCTGTAAAATACAAGTCTGTTCTGAATAATATGGTTGCAATCCCTAAAGCTTGCTTGCTGTGGTTTGATGGTGTGTATTGACAAAAAGTCATGATCTCTAATCAAAAACACCTTAGTTGTAGAAAAAAAAAAAGGTGTGGCCAAAAAATGATTGAGCATGCAACTTAAAGATAGGAAATCAAAACTGGCAGCCAAACTTGTGGCTACACTTGTAGCATTGATAAGAATTTTACAGCAAATATTCAT